CGCCCGCCACAACACCCAGCTATTTTTTGGTTGCAGCCGTCATTGTTGTTTGGCGGGTCCGGGCTGGATTCGAACCTGCCAGCTCAGATGTATGTGGCTGGCGCCTTAGCCGGTTGAGCCATAGGCGCCGAGCCTTATGCTATATTTTTCTTAGTGCCCACCAATTCCACTCTGGTTTGCTTCCTTTCACCACACTGGTTCGTGACATCCCAACCTCTTGGGAAGCTGAAGAAAGGATCAGTTGAGCCCAGGAGTTCAAGGTTGTAGTGAGTTGTGATCATATCACTGCACTCCAGCCTGGGCAACAGAGCAAGATCTTGTCTCTAAAAGAAAAAACAAACAAACAAAAAAAAAAAAACTCCAAGTTTTTGGCCAGAGTAACTAACTAGAAAGATGCAACTGCTATTTACAGAGATGGGAAAGCCCAGGAAAGGAATAAGTCAGAAGTAAGTTCAGGCTATTTATCTGTGTGTGACTTAGGTGAATTGTTTAACCACCCTGAACCTCAGTTTCCCCATTTGTACAATAGTCCCCTGCAGGGTGGTGGTGAAAACTGAGTAAGATCATGAACTTGGAGACGTGGCATATGAATTCAATATATGCCTCATATACAGCTTTGGGATGACACATAGCCATCACACCCTCTCAGGAAACAACTGATGATTATACTCTCCAGTTCCTCTCCCTGGTTTCCTTTGGGTAAAGTGGGATAGGCTTTCTTGATCTAGTAAGTTTTGTCTAAGGTTTTTTATTTTTTGTTTTTTCCAAGACAGAGTCTCACATCTTACTCTGTTGCCACAGGCTAGAGTGCTCTGGCATCATAGCTTACAGCAACCTCAAATTCCTGGGCTCAAGCAATCCTCAGCCTCCATGAGTAGCTGGGACTACATGCATGTGCCACCAGGTCTGGCTAGTTTTTTCTAGTTTTTTAGTAGAGACAGGGTCTTGTTCTTGCTCAGGCTGGTCTTGAACTCCTGAGCTCAGGCAATCCACCTGCCTCAGCCTCCCAGAGTGCTAGGATTAGTGGTATGAGCCACTGTGCCTGGCCTCTTTAAGGTCTTTGATGATGATAGTGATGATGACGATGTTAATGGCAACTAGAGATGAGGATGGTGATAAATGATCATGTTCCCAAGGCTTTGAAGTTTACAAAAACACTTCATGGTCATTTTCTTAACTGAGTCCAGCAAGGCCGGAATTATACCCATTTTATGAAGAAAGAGAATGAGATACTAAAAAGAACAAAATAAAACCCAGGCTAGCAACCCATCAAGATAAATCTGGCTACCTCATAGAATTTCATATAATCTAGGTTGGGAGGAGGTAGGTAGAGAAGAGGGTCGTGAAGTGTGTATCCCTCTTCCTGTTGGAATGGGAATGTTATCCAGCTGTGTCCATCTGTGCTCAGCTATAGGATGGATTGTGCCTCCACTTCTCTGCCCTTCTCTCCACTTCTCAGGGGCCTAGCCCTGGTCTCCCTACTTCAACCACTCTCAGCATGCCTGGTATTCAGATGTGTATCTGGGCCACAAATCTGTGTCTGCTTGGGCAAGTGGGTCTCATATGTCATCTCATTCCATTTAATCTTTCCTGTTAGCCAGAATTTTTTTATTTTTTGTTAGTTTGTTTTGAGACAGAGTCTCACTCAGTCACTCTGGGTAGAGTGCCATGGCATCTCTCCACCTTAAACTCTTGGGCTCAAGTTGTTGCAGGAAGATGAGGCCCAACGGAGAGAAAGAGCACCCAAACACCACATTTATAAGAGGAAGGGCTTTATTCACCAGCTGGGAGCTTATAGCATAGAAGAATTCCAAATGGCCCTGCTCCCCAACTGGCTTGGTCTTTCCCTTTTTATCGATAGTCAAAAAGTTCTACCCCACAGGTACCCTTCTCATTGGCTAGTTTAAATCAAGTGGGAGATGCTATTCCATCCAGCCCCTGCAGAACTATAGGATTTCACAGAACTTAGAAATTTCTAAGTTCCAGTTAGTTAAGTCTACAAATTCCCAAGAGCTGAGTCACCATGGAGAGGACCCTGCAAGTCCATCCTTGTGATCTTCTTGAGAAGACCTGTTCTCCCAGACCTCAACCTTCTTGGGTATCCTCTCTCAAAGTAATCCTCTTGCTTCAGCCTCCTGAGTAACTAGGACTACAGGCATCCACCATCATGCTCAGCTAGTTTTCCAATATTTAATAGAGATGGGGTCTCACTCTTCTTCAGGCTGATCTCCAACTCCTGAGCTCAATCAATCCAGCTGCCTCAGCCTCCCAGAGTACCCAGTTTTGTTTTTTTGTTTTTTTGGGTTTTTTTTAGAAACAGTCTCACTTTGCTGCCCTCAGTAGAGTGCTGTGGCACTGCAGCTCACAGCAACCTCCACTCCAGCTCTTGGGCTTAGGAGATTCTCTTGCCTCAGCCTCCCAAGTAGCTGGGACTACAGGCAGAGTGCCCAGTTTTTAAGTTAACAGAGGAGGGGAGTGGGTCCCAGAAAAGTCAATATACTTAAGGTAACACAATTAATTAGAAAGTGCAATCTGGATTCCAACTCTGAGGTCTGTACCCACCAAGGGAAACTATGAATTTTGTCCTCTTTTATACTCCCAGACTGGAAGAGGAGGGTGAGCCCAGCTGCCCCTCCCCTCAATATACCAGGTGCCAGAATGCAGCTGTCTCTTCATTGTTCCCCCACCCAGGCAAGCTATAATTGGTGGGGCTGAGTTGGGTGGGGCTACCCTGTGTAGTATCCAGTGAGGCTATCTCCATTGCAGGCAAATTCACCCAGAGATTGATTCTGAGAAGTGGTTCTAACTGGTAAGAGCTGCCACTGATGAGTGGCGGGAGGGACCTGGGAGGGTAGGGAGTTTCAGGTCAGGGACACATAGCAGAAAATTGACAATTGACAATTGTTCCTTCCCTCCTCCTCCAAAGACCTCTCCTATCACCTCTGGCCTCTACGGGAAAGAGGAGCTGACCTCTACCCAGACCCTGCAAATGGGGACATCCAGGTCCAGTGAGGGATAATGCTTATTAACTTAGGTCAGGGAGGATCAAGAGCCCCCAAAAGAAATATTCGAATTGCCTGAGGGAGAACTGTCAGATTGAGGAACAGTGGTTTTCAACCTTCCTAATGCTGATGTATTTTCATTGTTAAAAAGAGGTCATGACCCCTGGGTTGAGAACTGCTGGGTTAGGAAATCCTAGGTGGACAGAGGAAGAGGAGGCAAGAATGAAGGATGATTAGAGGATGAGAAGGTCCAGGCAAGGTAGGAGCCTGAAGAATAGCAAGCCATAGGTGTTTCTATCACCTGCTTTACTCTTACTGTGGGCTCAGTCTCCCCATCTGTGCTATGGTGAGAACCCTCCTGCCCCAGCTACCTTGTCAGAAGAAAGGGCTTCACGAATTGAGGTCTGGGGAATATGAAGTTGTGAACTGAACTAATGGGAGAGGGAATTTCTGCCCACCGTGTGTCTTTGCCAGGTGAGGCACAAGCAGGAAGTGCAAGCCTAAAGCCTGGGTTGCCTATGCAGGCACTGACCCACTGACCCTGCCATGCCCGCACCACTGCTCCCACTGCTGTTGCGAGTGCTGCTGTCCCGTCTGCTGCTGCCTGCTGCCCGCCTGGCCCGCCAGTACCTCCTGCCCCTGCTGCGCAGATTGGCCCATCGCCTGGACTCCCAGGACATGCGAGAGGCTTTGCTGGGCTGTCTGCTGTTCATTCTCAGCCAGCGACACCCGCCGGATGCTGGGGAGGCCTCCAGAGTGGACCGCTTGGAGAGGAAAGAGAGGTTAGGCTCCCAAAAATGAGGCCATGATTCCTGGCAGCAGCTAACTCCATCGAAATGCTTTCTTCTGGAGCAGGACAGTCTTGGCACCAGTACTGACCTCAGCTTGCCCAGTGGGCAGAAGACATAGTGGGGGCTGGGCAGTGTATGAGAGGGTTCTGACCCAGACATGCCTCCCTGCTCCCAGCAGAAATGTCTCTGGAAGGATGCCAAACACGTAGCAGAAAATTGACAATTGTTCCTTCTTTCCTCCTCCAAAGACCTCTGGCCTCTAGGGGAAAGAGGAGCTGACCTCTACCCAGTCCCTGCAAATGGGGACATCCAGGTCCAGTGAGGGATAATGCTTATTAACCTAGCAACAAGGGACAATTTAGCTGAGAGATGAGAGTTGAATCCAGAGTCCAAACTGTCTTCCAGACTCAAGACCTACCTTAAAATAAGATTTTGGTTCTCTGTGGAAGCAGACCTGTTCCCTAAGCCCTGCACTCACTCAGCAAGTGATCAATAAATATTGTTGACTTGAATTCTTGGGATGCCTTTGAAAGTCTAATCACCCAGACTCCAGCCTTGAAAGACAGTTTAACCTGGCTAGGCAGCCGGTGGGGGCCGGCTGGGAGGAGAGGACAAGTGCAAGGCTTTGTTTTTCCCTCAATTCCATTGTAGGTCTGGGTTCAATCTGTATGCCACACTATGACCCAGTAAGGTCTTGAGTCTGTCTCCAAGGAAGGCAGGCTGGACAGAAAGGAGGAGAATGTCCTTGAGTGAGTTTGGAGAATTCTCCGCTAGTAATGGTGGGAAGAGGGAGATTTGTTTGCTAAGGGACTCAGTGGGCAGCCACTCTGGGCAGCGGTGCCCTTGAGGGACACTTCACACTAGAAGAGGTCTAGGGTAGGTAAGCGACTGTTAGGTCCGAAAAATTATTCTCCCAAACAGCCCAAACAGACGAATCCGAGACACGCTCTGATGTAAAAAGCACGAGATGAGTTTATTCAGGCCCCAGAGGCCCGGGCCTGGACTCTCCTGGCATGCAAGCCGAGGACGAGCCCCAAACCCGGAGTGGAGGAAGTTTTTATGGGTACAGAAAGCAAGAGGGGTAGGGTCGGATACAGTACACTTTTCATTGGTGGTTGGTGATTTCATTAGTAAAGGAGGAAGTAAAGGAGGATTTGCATTGGCAGCTGATGATTTCACTAGTAAAGGTGAATTTGGATTGGTACAGGTGAGGGGTGGGGGGGTCCCTTAACCGGGGCCTAGCGTTGGTGCAACCTGGTTACCTGTATTTCAAGGTAATAGAAACTTATTGTTTATTATAGTAGCTATTTGCCTAAAGAGACTCAGTTTACAGCGCGTGCAACCTGGGGTGGGGGAAGGCAGCAGGGAGTGGCCCTGCAGGTTTCACTGGCAAAGGTTGGGGTGGAAGGGCTATGCGGTAAGCAGCTAGGAATGGGGCTTGTGCTCTAAACAACAAAATGGAGCTAGTTTGGCTCTCACACGACCCAAAAAATTCCCCCGCATCCTTTCCTCCTGCCTAGGGGGAGGTACCTGAGGAGTCAAATCAGAGTTGTTAGACACATTTGCATACTAGCCTCCGGATAATTTGCTTATTTTTCCCAGGCAATAATTCTCCCTCCCTGATGAATCTTGGTCTCTATCCAGGGCCAGGGGAAGATAGTGAGGAATACAGGGCCCTTTCCCGACCTCTGTGTCCTCCCCACATCCGCCAGAAACCAGAGCTCTGCACCCCCATCTCAGCCCTGCGTGACTTTCCGACAGCAGGCCCATCTGCTTCCTTCAGAAGTCCTCCAAAGCCAGGACGTGTTCACCTCTCTCGGGAAGGCGACCCCAGGACAGGAGAGAAGTGAAGAGCGTCCGAACTGCCCCCAAACACCCGCCCCACGACAGCCCTTGCCTGGCCTGAAGGGCCCCTCCCACTGGGCCTACTCTGGCCTCCATTCCCGCCGGCTCTCCGAAGCGCTCCCCGCCCCCGACCTGCGAGCGGCGCATGGCGGAACAGAGCCGACTGCGGAGCTCGGGGCGGGCGCTTGATCGCCGGTTGCAGCCATTCTCCCGCTCGGCGGCAGGGACCGGTCAGGCCCGTTGCGGGCTGCGCTCTCCGGCCATGGCTACGGCTACGGCTACGGCCCCGGCCCTGTGGTGAGGAGAGAAAGGGACGAGGGCCCGCCAGGCCCACAGTTACCCCGCCCCCAGTCCGGATGCCCCTTCCAAAGTCTCAGCAGGTGCGCTGGGCGGGGGTGGGGGGCGGCCAGAGGGCCTGGCGCGGTGGGGGCGGGGCCTGCGCGGTTCTCACGCTGCCCAGCTGGGCGGGCTGGCAGCGTAGGGGGATTAACCGGAGTAGAGTTTCCATCAGTGGAGCCGGAATCTGCGGGGTCTGTAAGAGGGGATAGTTTTCAGGGACTTTGAATGCCTCAGTTAAGTAACTTTCTCCTCACTCTAGCACCACCACTATACGGATACCTCCAAAATCAGAGACCTGCCCAGAGCAGAGGGTAGGGGATAGGGGCAGAGGTCTGGGAAATTAGCCTAGAAGACCAAGCCCAGACCTAGTGAAAAAAGACTTAAGTCTTCTTGAACCTTGACCTTGTACCCATCCTGTGTATACACCTGTTTTTATTTAAAATTTTGATGTTTTATTCATCATGGATTCTTTGCATTAACTTTGATTTTTAGACATTGTATTAAAATTTATCTTGGTTACATTAAAATATACTTGATTACTGCTTTTTTGGTGCCCCCTTAAATTTTGTGCTTCACGCAGGCAGTGTCTTACTTTCCTCTTCCCTAGTCCCAGCCCTGCCCTGGGGCCATGGAAAAATAGTCACAAACACAACAACTGAGAACATAGACAGTCATGGGACCTGTGCTGGTGACAAACTCTCATGCCAAGCAAACACTTGAGCAAACACATATGTTGTTGGTGACAGCTGAGAGGACACAGGCCTGGGGAGGGATAGGACTTTGGGTGAGGTTGTAAGGCTTGCTTGGGGCCTGCAAAGAAGAGAAGGGAGTCAGGACAAGCCACAGACCCATACAGGGTGGGGGATAAGGTGGGGAGTGGAGGTGCAGCTGGACCAGCCCTTCCTGCACTATCCCTGTGACTAGGTCCTGAGGGATCCCAGAAAGGGAGTGAGCAGAGGAGTAAGACTGGGCAGAGGGTGAAGCGGACTGACAGGGCCTGGCTAGAAAAATTCTGGGCAATGCCTGAGTTGGGGCTTCTGAGGTTGTCCAGCAGAGGGCTCTGGCACCCGGCAACCACCTCTGCCTGGGGAGGCGGCTTTGGAGGGGTGTGGGTGTTGGCTGGGGGCCCAGGCAGGGTGCACGCCAGACGGGCTTCTCTCCAACAATAACAGCCCTGGCTTTCACGAACCTATGAGCCTGCCAGATCCCAGCAGGGGTGGGGAGAAGAACCATCCTTTTCCATTCTGGCCTGGGACCCTCCACCACTTTCCTCCAGTTTCCTTCCACTTCCAGTACCCTCTGTACAAAACTGTAGCCACTCATGACCAGTCTGGCCATGCCTGGCAGATCTGTATAACCACTAGGCCTGCCACCCCCACAGGGTCAGAGAGGGGGAAAGGAAGGTGGGAAGAGAACCAGGGGCCAAGGAAGAGGGGAAAGGAGGGCTAGGAGAGGAAGAAAGAGAGACTGGACAAACATTGAGGGCAGGAATCAGGGGTTTGTATACAGACATGAAATCACTCTCAAGCCATGGTGCAGCGCCTAGAAAAATATTGTCTTCCTGCCCTCTATTTGGTTAGGGCTGAGGAGAAGATGTGTGTCATCTCTGTGGAGTGTGGAGTCAGAAGGCTGGGGACACTTTCTCTGCCTCTCTGAAGTAGCTTGGGGAGAGCCCACCTGCCCTAAGCAAAAAGCTACACCTCTCCTTAGAGCCTAGTCTTTCTCTGGGGAGAGGGTGTGATTCTACTTAACCATATAGTGTTGTCCTGCTAATTGTTAATCTGTGTCTGTAACTTCTCAAGGGGACAGGTCTCTGGGTAGTTGGAGGTGAGGTGGGCGGCCTGGATAGATTTTCTCTCCTCAGGACCTCTCCAACTTTGGGGTCATCCTTTAACACTGGTTGCTGCTGTAGGGGCAGTGAATGACCCCACTTCACCCCATTTACTGCCCAACAAAAATGACAGAGTCCTTCCACCGTCCTTGGAGGTACCTGACAGATCACCTCCTCAGCATGCCCACCCCCTTCCTCCCCAACTAGAAGGGTATAGATCTCAGCAAGTCTTCCGCCTCTGAGGAATATCTCCTGGCTGGGACAATAGGATGTAAGGCTATTTCTAGTTGTTTCTCTGCCTATTCCTAACTGTGCCTCAGTTTTCCAAGGTACTGGATTTAGAAAGGGTGACTCATTAGAAGGCTACACACACACACACACACACACACACACACATAGCCACACACCCCCTTCAAGTCAGAGTTGTGGGTAGTGTTGTGTTTGTGTGTCTTTGGCCAGATCTGTACCGGCCAGATGTGGGAGAGCCCACCAGGCAGGTCACAGTACAGTTAAGTCAGAGGGATCCCAACAGGAGATGGGGTGAGGGGACAGAGGCAGTTTTGAAGTAAACAAAGAAGGGGCTGAAAGGAAGAAGATAGCATTGAAAGGGGGGGGCTGGAAATAAAATAAAAGTACAATGTGATGGAAAAGTGGAGTGGGCAGGGTTTGGGGAGGGATAACGGAACATCTGAGATGGAGCGTGGAACTGGGGAGTCCGGGCTTGTCTGAGCAAAGGATTTGCAGATGGGAGAGTCCGGAGATGGATTCTGTAGGAATATGCGTAACCTGGCGCGTTGGAGACTAGGGGTACCCAGTATGGAGCTGTACCCTTTAGTCCCATGTGCCCCACATGATGGGCAGACTCTGGTGTGGCAGGGCCCAAAGAAGTTCTACCTACATACATAGTAACTCAACCTGGCGGCCCTGGGGGCACAGGGGCTCGGAAGGAGAGCCCCAGGGCTCGTGTAGCCGCTGTGGGGGTGGCAGGGGCGGGCCGGGGGGCGGGGTTGAGGGCGGGCCGGCGCTGGGGGAAATGGTGGCAGGCGCTAGGCCCGGGCGGGCCCAGCTGGGGGCGGGTTTGAATGTGCTCAGGAGGGCGCGGGAAGCTGCCAGCAGAGCTCGCAGATCTCAGCGTGGAAGGAGTTCATCTCCAGCAGGTGACCCGGTTTGGGGGGCTGGGGATCGCCGTGGCAGAAGGAAACACTTCCTACCTGCCAAGAGGGCAGAGAGACCGGGCCTGACAGCTTTGCGGTTCTGAAAGGGGATGCTGGGTGGGGCCCTCTCTTCCCGCGCGCCGAACGTGCGGAGCCGCACAGCACGTGGTGCGCATCGGCCTGCGCTCCTGGGGACCCTGCGGGAACTAGCACCGGAGCGCGGTGTGGACAACCTGCCTCCCGGGCTTAAGGCCGGCTGTTGTCAAGCTGACCTCCGCAGGGGGCAGGCGAGTGGACGGTTAATCCCTATCCTTCTTGTTGTTTGTACTGGGGAGGAGCCGCGCTGCTCACTGCCTGTGCGAGGGGGATGGGGATGGAGGGACGCGAATGGAGGTAGAGGAGCTGTCTCTTTAACCCCCGCCTTTTACTGGCCTGACTCGTGTCCCTGGGAGCGTCCTAATTTACTCATTTACTCATTTACTCATTTACTAATTTACTCATTTACTAAGTGAAAGACAAAGACTCATATACCCAGGTTTTCTTACCAGGAGAGAGCAGTAACGGGTGAAGGCTGGTTGCACCTCTGTCTCTCACTCTTCTGGGGCTCTCTCTCCAACCCCGTGGCCTTTACCTACTTATCTGACTAACCTCCAGACCCTTCAGCTTGTCCTTCTGCCTGTGTAAGCGCTTCATGCTAGCACGCGCCTTTGTGTGTGTGTTTGTGTGTGTGTCATAGGGAGAGGGTGGGGTGCCTTACGCATGACACTCATGCCACGTATAAAAAGAAAATCAAAGTCTCTTTTAGCTGCAAAAGAGAGGGTAAAAGCCTCAGGCACTTGTGAAGAACTGGTCCTACAGAACATCCATTAAGGAAATTCCTTGCTAACCTCCCATAAGCAAGGACATGCAAATTGTATCTATGTTTGGCACCTGAAACTAACGCCTATCGAATTCCACACTAATAATGAATTAAAGTTTATCTTACAGCTAACACAGACTAGAAATGATCTTGACCCCCACTTCATTTTTTACTTTTAAGTGGAGGAGAGCCCCCCTTTCCCCCATCTTCTAGTCTCTAGAGCTAGCTGGAAGCAGCCTTTATACCTCCCTCCCTATCCCAGAAGGAGCCTAGAATAAGTTGTACATTGAATTTGAACCCTCGCTCTCCACACACCAGCCTTTGTGACCTTAGGCAAATGACTTAACCTCTCTGAACCTCAGCTAGCGCTGTCCAGTGAAAACAGTCTTTTTTCTTTTTTGAGTCTCACTTTGTCACCCTTGGTAGAGTGCCGTGGCATCGCAGCAACCTCAAAATCTTGGGCTCTAGCAATTCTCTTGCCTCACCCTTCCAAGTAGCTGGACTACAGGCACTAGCCACAATGCCCAGCTATTTTTAGAGACGAGGTCTCACTCTGGCTCAGGCCAGTCTTGAACTCATAAGCTCAGGCGAACTACCTGCCTCAGTCTCCCAGAGAGCTAAGATTACAGGAGTGAGCCACTGTGCCTGGCCTTTATGATTTTTTTTTGAGACAGAGTCTCACCTTGTTGCCCCATGTAGAATGCCATGGCCACTGCACCCGACTATGTGAAAATAATCTTGTACTAATTATGGGTGGTTGTGAGGAAAAGAGGGGGATCTCTAGGTACAAGAAATCTTACATGATATTTTCTTACATGAAATCCTGGAGAGTGGAGAATTTGATGCTTACTACAAAGGTGTCTAGAATTTGGGGTGCATGAGAAGTGTTGGGAGTTTTGGAATAGGGTGGTACTCAATTTGGTGGCTGCTTTCAGGGTCGTATCTTAGCAAGCCAAGACATGCATGGAGGGATACTAGATGCTCTGAGCTGGTAGCAGATCCCAGGTTGCTGCTGGGCAAAGGCAAACAAGAACAAAACATCTAGGCTGTCCAGCTGACTGTTAGGATGCAGGCAGGAGGAAAGGGCTGCCTATGGAGTTGAATTGTGCCCGGGACTGGGGTGGTAACTTCTGAGAACAGAACAGGGGTGTACCTGGGAGGAGTGAAGAAATAAATTCTTCTTCTCTAAGCCTAAGGCAGTCTTACCAAGGGAAAGGGGAGCTATACCACCCCCCCCCCCAGTCTCCCATCTGGCTTAAAGCTGCACCTGTTCTTAACCGCCAGGAACCTTGCCTAGGGGTGGGCACAGGGTGTGCTGAGGTGAGAAGCTGGGGGGGGGGCACCTTCCCTCCTCCCTAATAGAAAAACTAAGTCCTGGTCCTTCCTCCTCCCCCATCCCAGAGGGCCTTCTTGCCTCCATCCCTCTAGAAAATGTAAATACTATTGTTCAATCACTCTTTCCTGTTGCCTAGAACAGTGCCTAGCTATCTTGGAGAGGTCCTCAGTAAATATTTATTGAGAGGATGATTGGAAGAATCCTGTGCCTCCATCTGGAAGGGTGTGGGTCTGCTCCTCCCCTTTTTGTCCTACAACCCAGATGTGGGCTATGGGACTGAGGAAGACCTTTGGAGAGCCTGGGATTTACCCAGGGAGGGGTGGAAAAGCCCCTTGAGGTTGTCAGGGTGCCCAGCTGCATCTGTTTGTCTCAACGCAGGGCCTCAGCTGCACCTGTGAGGCTGGGTGCCTCAGCCCCCTGCTGAGCCTCCTTGTTCTCTTATCTATTGGCTTTGCTGCTGCTGCTTCATTTGTGAGGTTCTTAGAATGGGGCCCCATGACACTTGAGGGACTCTCCTTATATGCCTTCTATCACCATTTTCATTATGGACCCTCACCCAGGACCCTGCAGACAAGTCCCATTGCCTGAGTCTGGACTAGGACCACCTCTTGGAGACTTTCCAGGCCCCCTCTGCTCTAACCCTTCTGTGGGTGAGTCTGGGCAACCGGTGAGTCCCTACATAGGGAGGGCAGGGAAGCCTGTTCTCACACCGCAAACAGCAAGCCCTGGTCCCTGAACTAGGCTCTCGTGTGGGGGATGTGTCAGTGCATGTTTGTCTAACTTCTTATGCCATTCATCAGGAAAGCTGTTTAATTTGTTGGTGCCAGGGGGCTCCCGCTACACAAATGGGGAGCAGAGAGGGATGCTGAGGGTGAAGGCTAGGCATTTGGGGGCCATGCAGTTAGTCAGAGCTTGTGACCCTCCCCCCAACTCCTCCAATTTTCCTTCTCAGAAAGGGGAAGAGAACAAGCCCCAGAGATTGAGACAGAGAGGAACTAAGGGGACTGGGTGACCCTGGGGCTAGGATTGGGGGAAGGACCATGCTAGGCTGTTGGAGGGGCTATTTCCCAACTCCCATGATGATATATTTTCGGGGAAACCTGGCTAGCAAATAGGAAGCCTTGGGCAGTGGCTGGAAAGAAAGGTTGAGGTGCCATCAGCAGAGAGGCTAGATTTGGGTGGCCCTAGGAGAAGAGAAGCTCTCCCCAAGCCCACCTAAGCCATGAATCTAGAGCCTCCCCAGGGAGGGTGGAGAGGCCTCTGCAGCTTGGCTTCAGTCATTGTCCTTGTCAACTACGGCTGCAGATGTTTGTTTGCTGCCCTTCTCCCTCTTACCCTCTGCTGTCTCCTCTACTTTGTTCCTTCCTTCCTTCCATTGTCATCACTGTCCATGACCCCTCTCATCCTCTTCCCTGCCTTTGACTGTCTTTCCCTCCCTCTCAATCGAACTTCCTCCTCCTTCCCTCCAGTTCTCCACCCGCTGCCTGTTTCCCAGCTTATAAACTGCTTCATCTGCTGGATAAAAATAGCGGTGGCAGCGGCCAGGCTGGCAGCCAGGTAGAGCCCGAGCAGGCAAGGGGGGCCCACTTGACTGGTCTGTTGGGTCAGTCAGTGGGCTGGGGGATCAAGGCGAGGGGACCTAAGGGGTAAGACCCAGAGGGGCTTCTGCTAGACTCTTCAGCTTGCCTGCCCTGTCCCCTTCCCCCCACAGGAGGCCTGTGGAGAAGCAGGGCTAAGACACAGCCTCACAATGCTTCTGCCCCCAGCAGGTGCCAGAGGGAGAGATCGATCAGCCAGGCAAAACCAAGAACACCATCACCATGACAACCAATCACCAGCCTCAGGACAGGTAAGGCAGGGGGCCTGGACTATGGATCCAGGGAATGGGTTTCCAGGGAATGGGTGCGGTGTCCTTTGGAATCTGGATTTGCCATGAGTCAGATCTGCATCAGGGGTGGGACCATGCATGTCTTGGCTGGATCCTGGCTAGGATGTTTGTGGGGAGGCCAGGGTGGTGGGCAGCAGTCCCTTCCTGGCCTGTCAGTGTTTCCACTGTTGATCTCCAGCCAGTCAGCAGCTTCTGGCTCCTCCCTGCCACAACTATGAGGACATACTTGACAGCACCCCTCATTCCAGAGCACATCTGGCAGAATTCCCCTGAGGCCTCTGTCTTAGATGACCTTGGTCCATCCTAGTTTTTAATCTGACCCTCCTTTCACTTCTCCACCTCTGGAGGTTAAACACTCTCAAATTAGACTTACAACTATGATTGTGAATGTCTTGGAAGAAAAGGTTGTAGCATGATTCAACTTCTCCAAGGAGTCTAGGACTCAAGAAAGTTAGAGAAATGATGCCCTGAGGTCCAAAATGCCTTCCAGGTCTCTAGCTCTGTCCTTCCCTCCAACTTAGTCCCAAACTCCTCGTATCTCCCCTGTCCACCCCACCTCCCAACTGTGCCAAAGGCTGTGAGACTAGACCACTTCTGCCTGTAAGGCCTTAAGCACTTTGCTGTATCTCCTTGGGACCACTTCCCCACCTATAAAATAGAGAAAAGAGGGTCCATTCAGGAGTTTATTTAGAGGAGAGAGAATTTAAGGAGGCATAGCAAGTGCAGGCCCAGGATGGCTCCCTATCTCCCCTCCTCTGATCCCGGCTGCCTCATCCCAGTCTTGCCTCTCCTGTGACAGTTCCCTAAAGCTCTCTCCTATCTCCATCCACCTCATTGCACTGCCTGCTCATTTCCCAGCCCTATCTCTGAACCCTCTCTCCTGTGTGCCCTTGGCTGGGAGTTCTTCCCTCCATTCAGGGCCTCTGAACACAGCTTTTAGGTTTTCTACCTCAAAGGGAGCATGTATGTTAGGAACTTGAGGGCTGCAGGTGTAATAGCTCAGACCTGCCCACTTGGGGCGCTCACCAGTCTTCCCTGCAGAGGCCTGCTAGTGATCCAGGCCCCTGCACTTTGGCCAAACCTGTCTTCTTATAGCCTTGGGGTTTATCCTCCCATCTCTGAAGAAAGCTGGTGTTGGTCATGAGGAGGGTATGACAGACACACCTGGAGAGCTTGATAGGAGGGGATGGGGTTGCTAAGCTTGCAGGCAAAGGCAACTCGGGGAAAGCTGGCCTGTCTGGGACAGACCTTGAGGTATAAGTACTGGGGCATTGCTCTGGCCAAAGCTGGGTGGCTCTTGTTTACTCTCTGCGGCCCAGATGATGTCCCCATACTTCCTGCCTGCCCTAGGTGGTATGTTCTACAAAGCCAGTTCTGTCTGGGCCTGGAGAAAACAGCACTAACTCCTTTACTTCCCAGCTGCCCTGAGGCACCCCACCCACCTTCTTCTCTAGGTTTAGAATGGCCTGAGAGCTGCTTGACCTCAGAATCCTGTTCAGGGAGCCACACAGTCCCAGCCCACACTGCATAATCACTTCCAGACTGCCTAGTGGGGGTGGAAGTAACTTGATGTCTGCTTTTTCACTTACCCACCCACCGCCAGCCCTTTAGCAGGATTTCCAAACCATCTCCGGATGTGTGGGTCATACTGGCTCCCAGACTGTGGGGTCCCCTGAGCCTTTCGGGGCTGAGAACCAGGGTCTTTTCAGTTATGCCATTTTGTGACTGTAGTCTTCCGCCCTGAGTTCTAGCTGACCCTTTTGTGGAATGTGTGCCCTTTTCCCTATCCTAGGACAGCACCCCCCACCCACCCCCCAAACTCCCTCCCATAAGAGGACACAGGCACACAGACACAAACACAGATGCCCTATGCACTGGGACAGTCAGAGAAACCAATGGGCAGGGAAGGAGGGAAGAGCTTCCCCAGGGCTGATCTGGGAATAGAGTAGGGTGGTGGGTAACTTGGCTTCTCCTTCCTCTCCCAGATACAAAGCTGTCTGGCTTATCTTCTTCATGCTGGGTCTAGGGACACTACTCCCCTGGAATTTTTTCATGACGGCCACTCAGGTGAGGCTGGAGGGACAGGGCTTCAGGGGTCATGTCCACTGGGCATGCAGGGCCTGGGTCTATACCTTGGGCACAGGAGGATAGATTTCAAGTCTCCTCTCTGCAACCCCCACAGTATTTCACAAATCGCCTGGACAAGTCTGAGAATATGTCCTTGGTCACTGCCAGACCAAGCCAGGATATCCAGCCCTCAGCTGCCCCCGCAGCACACGTGCCAGCGCGGAACTCTCTCAGTGCCATCTTTAACAATGTCATGACCTTATGTGCCATGCTGCCCCTCCTGCTCTTCACCTGTCTCAACTCCTTCCTGCATCAGAGGTAAGCATCCACACCCACCCAGCTGGACCCTCGCTGTCCCCCTGCACCTCTAGGCCAAGCCCCAGCTTGCCCATCCCTCTCTGCTACCCCTTGGCCTCTCCCGGCAGGATCCCCCAGTCTATACGGATCCTGGGCAGCCTGGTGGCCATCTTCCTGGTGTTCCTGATTACTGCCATCCTGGTGAAGGTGCAGCTGGATGCTCTGCCCTTCTTTGTCATCACCATGATCAAGATCATGCTCATTAACTGTAAGCTGGGAGGAGGCCTGTGGGCTGAAACCTCCCACATACCTCTGCCCTTTTTTTAGGCCTATGATCAGCCAGGGAGAGCAGCCCCAGCTGGATACTGTGGGGGTATTTGGGATTCAGAGGCCTGAGCAGGCCTGAATTGGGGGCTTGGGGGGTGGCAGAAAGAAGGATAGGTCAGCATCAAGACTCACTGGGAGTAAAGCCACAGTTACCCTGACTGCCAGCCCTAGCTCCCTGAAATCTCTCCTTTTGTGCCCAATGATGCCCATTCTGTTCCCTCAGCATTTGGTGCCATCCTGCAGGGCAGCCTATTCGGTCTGGCTGGCCTTCTGCCCGCCAGCTACACAGCCCCCATCATGAGTGGCCAGGGCCTAGCAGGCCTCTTCTCCTCGGTGGCTATGATCTGCGCCATTGCCAGTAAGTCCTGCTGTCCACCTGCCTGGTATGCTGGTGGTGGCAGGGGAGGGAACAGGGCCTGTTTCTGATCACTGACACCACCACAGGTGGCTCGGAACTGTCAGAAAGTGCCTTCGGCTACTTTATCACAGCCTGTGTCGTTATCATTTTGACCATCATCTGTTACCTGGGCCTTCCCCGCCTGGTGAGCAAATGGAGGGAGCTGGGGTGTGGGGTCCTGGAGGTCCGAGGTTCCAGACCAAGGGTGTTTGGAAGCCCAAACCTGAGGGAGATAGGAATTCTGAAGATTCTACCTCTGAATTCACCTCCTCTGTTTCCCTTTCTTGATAGGAATTCTACCACTACTACCAGCAGCTCAAGCTCGAAGGGCCTGGGGAGAGGGAGATGAAGTTGGACCTCATTACCCAAGGTCTGAAGAGGCTGAAGAAGCTGGGGTGGGGGACAGCATGGGTGAAGAGGACAGGAAAGAGTATACTATGTTAGTTGGCAGCCCTGAGCCAGAGGACAGGAGGACCAAGGGTGGGGTGAGGGGGACAACAGGAAATAAGTGCTGGGAAAGGTAAAATTCGGGGAGAGATCCTCGATGACCTTGCATACTTGAGGCATTTGGATTGAGGCAGTGGGAAGCGATTTCAGACTCTTTGGGAGGAAGTAACATGACCTGAGACTCCTGGGAGAGGTCGGGCCCCACATCTCTAACTGTGAGGACTTGGAGGGGAGTTCTGGGCTATGGGGTAAGGTGTGGCTGTGGACTGGCAAAGGAGGGGTCCACCTCCAACTAATCCTAGCCCTTCTGGGGAATGTTTGTGTCATCTCCTTTTGCCCTTCTCATGCAACTTAAAGATCCTTCCACAACCTGTCACCCCCCTATCTCCAGGAGAGGAGCCAAGAGCAGGCAAAGAAGAGTCCAGAGTTTCAGCCTCCAACTCTGAGCCCATCAACAAAAGCCACCCTATCCGAGCCATCCTCAAAAACGTATGTAGGCGGGGTGTCCTACCCGCTACCCCTCACTCTCTTTCTGTGCTTTTGCTCCTTCTCCCCTGCTTTTGCTCCCTCTTGCCTGCCACTTATCTCCTCCCTTTCTGACCCGAAGACACAGGGACCTGGGTGAATCCCCTTCCCCTTCTCTCCAGATCTCAGTCCTGGCCTTTTCTGTTTGCTTCATCTTCACTATCACCATTGGGATGTTTCCCGCTGTGACCGTTGATGTCAAGTCCAGCATCGCGGGCACCAGCGACTGGGGTGAGGATGCCATGGGATCCTATGATGGAGACAGATAGGATCTTGAGCTGGGCTGGGAATGGGGGTGAAGGGGAGCCTGGGTTACCTTCTTCCCCGCCAGACTTTCCTGGGTCCATTTGCCCTTCTCTGGGCTTGGAAGCATCTTCTCCATTTTACTGTAGAGGAAGCTGAGGCCCAGTGAGGGTCAGGGTTGCTATATCTGCCTCTTGGGGCTTGATAACCATCCCCTAATCTCCTCTTCCAGGATACTACTTCATTCCTGTGTCTTGTTTTTTGACTTTCAATATCTTTGACTGGCTGGGCCGGAGCCTCACAGCTATAGTCATGTGGGTAAGTAGAGGAAGAGGTCACCAGGCCTGGGGGAGGGGAGAGTCCAGTCTAAGACCCAGAAAGGGGGAATCCAAAAAAGTAGGCTGGTAAGGGAACTATTTTTTCCAAGTTGAGACATAATTAATGTATAGTAAGTGTACATCTTAAGTGTATAAATATATGTATATGTACATGTATATGTGCACACATACCCAAGGTCAATTGTATAGAATATTACCAGCATTTCAGAAGGCTTCACTCCCCCACAATTAGTACTTCCCTAAGGGTAACCAGGCTTTGAGGTTTTTTTCAGGTCCTGGAGGGCCTGGCTATGCCCTGGGGACCAGCTAGGGCTAAGACACTGCCTGGTATCCACAGCCCGGAAAGGACAGCCGCTGGTTGCCAGGTCTGGTGCTCGCCCGGCTGGTGTTCGTGCCCCTGCTGATGCTGTGCAACGTCCAACCCCGCCAGCACCTGGCTGTGGTCTTTGAGCATGATGCCTGGTTCATCATCTTCATGGCTGCCTTTGCCTTCTCCAACGGCTACCTCGCCAGTCTCTGCATGTGCTTTGGGCCCAAGTGAGTAGGGCTAGGTTGGGAATTTGGTGGCATCAGGCAGGGTCTAGAGCTACCATGGAGGACTCAGTAGAAGGAGAAAGGGCAAAAGGAACGTCCCCAATCCTAAAGCCAAGACAAGAGACGACTAGGGAGGGCCATCTAGGCTGCACGTGGTAGTGGGTAGCTGGGGGAATGCCCAAGTTACTTAGTGGAGATGTGGTGGGGGGCTCTTGGGAGGGGAAAGATAGCCTCTAGTACATGCTCTGCTAAGAGGGAAAAGTTAGCTTGGGAGATGATGGTAAAATGATTTGGTCAGTAGTCAGGCAAGTCTTCCTCCCTTGGTGCTCCTTCCACCCTAGATGCTCTGGGCTGGCACACGGGCCATCCTAAGGTACCTTTCCCGTTTTTCCTTTAGGAAAGTGAAGCCAGCTGAGGCAGAGACAGCGGGAACCATCATGGCCTTCTTTCTGTGCCTGGGCCTGGCACTGGGGGCTGTCTTCTCTTTCCTGTTCCGGACAATTGTGTGACCATGGACAGACAAAAGGACTGCACTGCCTGCTTGCCTTCTCCCGCCTTCCTTCTGCTGGGCATGGCAGGGGTGGTCTGGAGGTTTTTCTCTTCTTTCTCACGGCCTGTGCTGGGCCTGGATGTCCAGGCTCTGTGGAGGGAGCTTCTGTGGATGGACAGTAGGAACATTGTGGGCTTGAGGGTCAGAGTCAAGGGGGCACATTGTCTGTATCTGCTTGAGTTTCTCCACCCTTGGCTCTGATCCCTGCTTGAACAGGGCATCAGAGGTTGTTAGGCTCAGAGAGTACACGTGTGTGTGTGTCTGTGTGTCTGTCTGCCTGTACCAGGGATAGCCAGGGGTCAGGACTGACCGTTTTATGGTCTGATCTGATATTTCCCCTCCCTCCTTTCTCCCTATGTACCTCATCACCCATTCTCTCCATGTTCCCTTCCCAGCTCTGCCTGCCCATTTCCTACCCATCATGCACCTTGTACAGTTGCCATTTTATTGCCTTTTTTTATATTTGACAGAAACCAGGTGCCTTCAGAGGCTCTCTAATTAAACCTTTGTTTTTTTGTTTTGTTTTGTTTTGTTTTTTCCTGCATGGCTCCCTGTATCCTCTAGTCACAGTTTCATGCCCTGGAGAGGGGAGAGGGCTGGCAGCCTAATTCGGGGGGCATGAGTGTGACCCAGCTGGGCCTTGGCCAGGCCTGGGCCTGGGTTGAGGGGAGTTGGTGGGGGGGGGGCCCCCTCTTGGCCTCAGAGGGGCTGCAGCGCCCCCTGCTGGGGCCACAGGGGAGTGACTGGCCTGGAAACAGGACATAAGGACTATTGGCCCAGACTGAGAAAGGCTGTTTTTCTTTGCTGCTTCATCCCTTTATAGGACTGGGGATGAAGACAGCTCCCTGTTTTTTCTTTGTCTTCATTGCCACCCCCCTCCACTCTGTCCTCAGCCCCAGGAGTGAGCCCTGCAGAACTGGCCAGCTCCTGGCTGTACTCCCACACCCCCAGGCAGGAAGAGACTGAAGCCCAAGGGTTCTCCCCTACTTGGCACCCTGCCCTGACACCAAAGCTCAGCCTGCCAGACTTCCTGGGGAACAAGGGGCCTATGTGTCCTCACACTGAAGTCAAGCCTTCCCCTTATCAACCCCCAATTCTGGTCTATGGAAGGGAGGATTGATAGGGGACTTTGGGAGATTCTCAGTGGAGAGGGCCCTAACAGTTCTCAAGAAAGCCTTCCTGACTGGAGGTGAGTGCAGAATTCTGGCCATGGTGCGCCACTCCCTTCCACGCTAGGCTCCGCCACACCCCTGAGTGGCAGACTCCTCTCAGAAAGACAGAAGGCGCAACCCAACTGCTCATTGATCCCTGACTTAGCAGATTGCTACAGAATTGGCACCATTGTCCATGTTTCTTTTTTCACAAGAGTTTAATTTAATTGAAGGCTTCAGACCTCATTAAGGGCTGTTAGCACATTTTTAAGGCTCTTTGATGAGCTGTGAAGCCCTAATGGGGGAGCTAAGTATACAGTTGTACTAGGAACAAGTCCATGTACTAATTTATCTAACCAGAGTATATACCTGAGGTGGTGGAAAACAAAGTATTCCTTTACTATCAGGTTCAGAAAGGTGAGGGATTCCCTGAGGGTTCTTCCTCTGATTATCAATGCCCTTTGGCAGTGACTCAAACTGAAAATACAAACCTGACAGCTCTTTCTCCTCTTCTGGCCCGCAGTCCTCCCTAATTTCCCCATTGTACCCAACCCCCCTGAAAGCCCTCTTGGTGTCCTTCCTCAGCACCAGCTGCCTCAGAGATCCTGTATTTCTTCCTGAAGTCCTTTTACCACCTCCTGCCCAGCATTTTGGGACTTCCTCCCAGGTCTTCCAATCTATCCTATACATGGCCACAAGAATAATTTGAAAACAAACTTAGGGGTATTTTGGTCCCTCACCCTGGAGCATGCTTTTTTCCCCCCAAGCATTTCCTGAGCCTACACCAGCAACAGGGTCTTGCTCTGTCACCCAGTCTGGAGTGCAGTGGTGTGACCATAGCTCAATACAGCTTCAACTCCTGGGCCCAAGCAGTCCATCTGCTTCTGCCTCCTGGGTAGAAGGAGAAGATTACATGTGCACCTGACCATGCCCAACCAATTTATTATAGAGATGGGGGTCTCAGTTTATTCCCCAGGCTGCTCTAAAACTCTTGACCTCAAGTGATCCTCCTGCCTTGGCCTCCCAAAGTGCTAGGATTACAGGTATCCACTCCATATTCTTACCTTACTCCAGCTATCAGGCTCTTACGTTTTTTGAGGTTAGGGTCTAATTTTATGCATGTTTTAGCTTTTCAAGCTATATTATACCTGGCTCCCAGAAGTAATTCAGAAAATGTTTGCTTCACTGCATTTCTTTGTCCCAAGGTGGAACTTATCCCTCCTCACAGTTTTCACATTCCTGATTCCAGTAGCATAGTCCATTGCCTGTGAGATGAGAGAGAGATAACATGTTAAGTAGATTTGACGGAAGAAGAAAAATACTTAGGATATGATCACTTTCTCCCTTCCTGTACTCAGATTGATGTTAAAGAATATTCTTTAGAATATTCAGATTTCAAATGCAAATGCCAAAAAATTGTGGTCGCCTGAATTCATTTCCATTTTTCTGACTTGTTTTCAACTATAAACTTGAGAGGTGGATAGGAAAAGCCCCTCCCAGGCCTGCTCAGCTGCTGTCCCTGGGGTGGCTGTGACTGCAATGCAGAAATATCTGTATTGTTTAATCTTTTATGGTGAAATGTGGGGCTATAAACACTCTTGAACAAAGCTAAAAGCCCCAGTAAAATCAGCAGCCTTCTTGGAAAACAGAAATGAAGCAGCTGTAACCTATAAATTGGAAGATAGCTGTGTATCTATTCTTTGAGGTAAAGATACTGTAAAGCCAATAAGTATAGGGTGAGGTGTGACAGGAGAACCTCAATCCCTGAAAAAACAAAAGCCAAATTGTTCTGGGTTTAAACTATGATAGTAATTCAAAATGGATGTAAGCAGAGAAATGCAGAGTCACTTTAAAGAGATAGTTCTGTCCTCTAGCAAGCAAGCCTTGCCTGAAAATCAAACCCAAGTCTACACACACAAGAAGAGTGGCTTTCTGAGGGAATGTCAGTCACCAGATCTGTCTTGAGACCTGGTTGGCAGTGTCCACCCAGGCCCTGAGGCTCATTTGGTTCCTGGGACAAGTTGGCTTTAAGTATGCAGATGGGCAGAGCCCCCCAACTTATCAATGGCTCTCTGTCCTAGCTAGACTCCTCTAGTCCCTCTCAGTATGATCTGGCTTCCTGTGGAGGTGCTCCCAGGCATAGAATGTGCTCCCTCAGGCCTCAACCTGGCAGGTCTACTGCTCCCTGTAAAGAAGCAGATTGGCATCCTAGTTCTAGACAGCAGGGTGAATGCTAAGTGAATCTGCAGGACCCCCCATGATGGTTTCTGACCTTTTGGTGGAAAAGAGACAACCAGTTTGGATTCAGAGGGGGGTGTTAAATCTTGAGAATGTGTCAGCTAGGTGACCTTGGACAAGTCATTGACCCTTTGTGGCTCCAGCTCCTCACCTATTAAGATACAGGATGACAGTATATGCATGGACTTGAAATTTAGGATCCAGGAAGCCACGTGGTATTACTAGGATAAACCTCAATATGGTATCCCCCTCTCCCCAATCTAGGCAATTCGCTGCCCCTTCCCTACACCTCAGACCCTGAAAACTTCGAGAATCGGGCCTCATTTCTCCCATCCCAGCGAGTTCCAGTATGTATCACCATTGAGTTCCCTCCCCGCAGCGGACAGCCAAGAACCGCGGGTCGGCCGGCCCAAACAGGGTAGAGGAAGGAACCGGACTCCTGCCCCGCCCCGCGGGAGGAGGAGGGGAGGGTGACGTCACCTGGTTCGCGCGCCCCCTGGCGGGAGTACTGCCCCACTACTGTGCCCCTCTCAGCACTGGCGGGTTGGGGGGATTGACTGCTTGTCAGATCAACTCCGCTGCCTGCTGTGTCTGAGTGACCTTGAAGCAGGTACTCGGTCTTCGGGTCTCTCATCTGTAAATCAGGGACAGTAACACTTGTCCTGCTTCCCGCGCGGGTCGTGAATCTCCGCTGAGATAATGAATAACAACGATTTTTTTTTTTTTTTTTTTTGAGACAGTCTCACTCTGTCGCCCTCGGTAGAGTGCTGTGGCGTCACAGCAACTTCAAACTCTTGGGCTTAAACGATTCTTTTGCCTCACCCTCCCGTGTAGCTGGGACTACAGGCGCTGGCCAAAATGCCGGGCGAGTTTTTCTTTTTCTATTTTTAGTAGTGACGAGGTCTTGATCTTGCTTAGGCTGGTCTCAACTCCTGAGCTCAAGCGATCTACCCACCTGGCCTCCCAGAGTGCTAGGATTCCAGGCGTTGGCAACCAAACCCAGCCTTAACAAGGACTTCTTTTACCAACCACTCTGTGCTAGCGGTCTTAACTACAATGGTCTCATCCCATTTCCCAGTAACCCTCTAAAATGCTGACTTGCTATGCTCATTTTACTCCAGAAAACTGAAGCTGAAAGGTTAAATGATGGGAAAAATATTCTGCGAACTGCAAAGCATCAGGTAAATATAAAGCAATCTCCTCTCCCCATCCCCCATACCCCCCGAGTTACCAAGCAGTGAAGGGGACAGAAAAATACAGGCAGCATGTAGCATCATAATGCAAGCTGATCCACCTTCCTCGTCGGTCTTTGAAACATTCCTAAGAGACATCTCCACTTTGCACATCCTCAGGGATCCTAGCCTCCCAGGATATTGAGCTTTCATTTCATCCTGGCGAGGTGAAACCAGCGAGGTGAAACCTTCCTGAGGTCTAACTAACCTCAGCTCCTCCTGTGCGATTTCCTTACCATCCAGCAGTAGTATCACATCCCTAGCAGTCTATTGTCTGCGTGGGGGTGGGCCAGGCTGGCACTGAGCCCAGTGCATGGCCCAGAAATCCAGCCAGTTGAGACCTGCACAGTGAAAAGGAGTGATTTGTGCCTGAGACAGGACAGGTGGCAAGCAAAATAGTTAACTAGGTCAGGGTTGTTTGTGGTGTCATTTGCCCCCTATACTTCTTCTGACTAAAATCTACTCTGGGCTGAATCAATTTAGGGTTAAGTTTTACCTTCTTAGTCAAAGGGGACTTGGAACACAGAACTATGCCTAAGACAAAGAAATTAAAAAAAAAAAAAAAGGTATGCCTAGTGGGTGTGATGATAGGAGGAAGACAGACATTTTGGACTTGGCTGACAATAGCAGGCAGGCCAGACTCAGACTCAGTCACACCCCCCATCCCCCCCATCCTTAGGCCACAGATATGTAAGGCAAGAACAGTCATATGTGTATTAATAGAGTGGGTTACTAAAGATGCCCTATTTATAATTCAAGAAGGGTTTAGATCCCAATTTCTGGCCCTCTATTCACCAACTTCTCTAAGTGATTTTGAGGAGAAATTTGTGGCCTTAAATCTTTATCTTGGAAAAGGTGAAAAGGTGAAACTTGATATACTGAGTATTAAAGTTAAGAAAA